CATATATAACCACAACAATGATCATTATTAATAAGATACAATAATATAAGTATGAATGTTTGCAATGTACAGTACTTCAACTTAAGAGTATATTTATGTCCTTTGGCTAATATTTTTATCAAAGGTCTACTTGAAGGCACTGTCATCATGATTGACATTTAACATTATATTTACCACCAATAGCACTGTCATCCGAAATCATCAGATTTGCTGATAGCCAGAACTACCTTAAACTCAAGAGCACTTGTGATTGTTCTTATTAAGTCAAAGAAACCTGTCATATTTGTCTCTTGTCTTGACAGAACATGAATGAAGGCATCTGTAATCAATATTCTTATACTGTACAACCAAAGATCAATTTTCAGTGGATACCTGGCTTAACTGTTCATCTTTTTACTTCGGTGACTAATGTGCCAAGCTAAGAAAATATTAAATTCATTATGACTTGCAATATATATTTGTCCCAGATGCAACATTGCTACAGCATCAACCTTATACAGAATCTTGGCTGCTTTACAGCTTCTTATTAATACTCTAAGTTTGTGAGCTAGACCTTCATCCCCTGACCTAACACTTGTAGAATAATTAGTTTCTCTACCACTGACAGTTTTTGGCTACATTTGCAAATTGCAAGATGGTTGACCCCCACTCACTCAAGACATTTTACGTGAGAATGTAAGATCTTTTGTCAAGTAAGTTGGATCCATTGTGATTGTTGGTTCTTTCATGAGTACTTTGGATACATTGAGAGTAGCTGGGCTATTATGATCTATGTTGGATTTGTGGATCTGTTTTGGGTATGCCGAGATCTAAAACTGTGTTGAGGAAAATTTTTGTGAAGAAGGAATTGTTAATGAATAGTGTTGATCTATCATAAGAATGATGAATCCTTTTGTGGTTATTGTGGTACAGTATTTCCTGTTTGTACAGGTTCATCTGAGTTCATTGAACTGATTTTAATATGTGCTGACCTGTATTATATGGGTCTATTGTGTAGGTTGGATGTTAAGAGCAAGCAGGGAATATCTTATGAATATTGTAACTGTTTGTATAATGGATATTTTTAGTTTGGTTTGTTATAATGTAATTAATGCAATGCATTTTGGTAAGTATGGTGCATGTGTCTTTGATACATGCACCATACCTACTATTGCTATTGTAGCATATAGTGTTCACATTGTGAAGCATCATTGTACCTAAGCACTAAACAGCTATGGTATACTTAACCACTGCACTGCAAAAAGCACTTTGAGGCGCTAGATCAGGGGTGCGCGGAGCACCTCAGGGCACTCGTAGGTATAGCGTAGCATTAAAAATTCCCGCAGCTACACGAGGTTCACATCAGCTTCCTCAGGGCTCTCATCAGCTTCCTCGGGGCTCTCGTAAACAGACGCCATTTTTTTTTAAATTGTGGGCAACATTCCTGGGTGTGAGCCTCATTACCAAGTGAGCAACCAAGGCTGGTGCAGGCAGCATGAGCTAACAGCACTGCTATTCAGCTTGTGACCACAGCATCACCTAAAAATGTCAAATACTGTATATACAGTGGTACCTCGGAATGCGAGTGTCCCTGTATGCGAGTTTTTCGGAAGACGAGCAGGATTTACTCCAAAAATATGTCTCGGAAGGCGAGGGTTACCTCGGGACGCGAGTTTGTTGATACGTGTACAGGCCGACTGGCGCGTGGTGGCATGGCGATCGCACCTCGGTTTACCAGTGTCTCGTGTCCAGTGACTATCCCACCTGAATTCTTCACAAGGATTTACAGTTTTTTATCGGTTTTTTGGCCATTTGAGCATAAAAGTTGTCATTATATATCTTGCCATGGGTCTCAAGAAAGCCATTGGTAAGGTTCAACCTAAGAAAATAGCTGTGAGTAGAGGCAGTAGAGGATGTCCCTTCTTGATTAAGAAAATGTGTGAAGTATGGGAAGAACTGCAAAGTTTTGTTGAAAAAACTCACCCAGATAAAGCTGTAGCAGGCCGTTGCATTGACCTTTTAAATGATAATGTGATGTCTTACTACAGACAAGTGTTAAAATGTAGGGAAAAACAAGTGTCATTAGACAAATTCTTAGTAAAAGAAGCAAGTCCTAGTGGTATGCAGGCAAAATGTGCCAGAGTGTGCATACCAGTGAAGTCCTCACTGCCTGATGTGATAATGGAAGGGGACTCCCCTTCCAAACAGTAACTCCTCTCTTCCTCCCACCTCCTCACCATCTTCCATACGCCTACAGCATTCAACAGCAAGGTAAGTAATAACTTGAACATAGTTTTGTAGGTTTATTTAGATGAATTGGGTATAAAAATTTAGTTTGATGTGGGGTTTTTGGGGTAGTCAGGAACGGATTAATTCATTTCCCTTTATTGCTTATGGGGAAATTAGCTTCGGAATGCGAGTTTTCGGAATACGAGGTGTCTCCAGGAACCAATTAAACTCTTAAACTGAGGTATGCCTGTATATATATAACTGGTATTGCATATTGCATATTCAGTTGCATATTGTCCAGGGGACCATTCTGGCTTGTTCGCATAACTGGTATTATTTAGCCATGATAGTATTACAGAAGAGCCTGACTGTGATAAAGACTGTGTACAATGTTCAGATATCAGTGAATCAATGCTGTTCAAGATGTTCACAGTGCTTGCCACAGCATACTATTATTTTGTCGATCTAAGAATCTTCAAACAACTTCTCATGTTTCTTTACGAAATAAGTTCGTGGAAAATTATTCATTTACAGGATTTAGTGACCCGTATTCTGATAATAGCAGGATTTTGATGAGAATTATCAATGTGCGTAGTATGGTGGGAGGAGTAATCTTGATGAGGGAGGGAGGGAGAGGTGGCATCGTCTGCTGAATGTGTATTCATCTAGTTGTGCTTGCGGGGGTTGAGCTCTGCTCTTTTGGCCCGCCTCTCGACTGTCAATCAACTGAATTGTTTTTGTGTTTTTTCAACCCCCCCCCCCACCCCCCATCCTCAGGAAGCAGCCTGTAACAGTGTCTAACTCCCAGATACCTGTTTACTGCTAGGTAACAGGAGCATCAGAGCGAAAGACTCTTGTTTGTTTCCGCCTCCACTGGGGATCAAACCCAGACCCTAGGATTAAGAGTCCCAAGCGCTGTCGACTTAGTCAGTGTGGCAACCTGTTATCGTTTAGACTCACACCAGCTTAGTGGTTAGCTATGGTGAACACAAATGTAGATACTTATATATAACACGTATGTGTGTATAGTGTACAACAGCAAAAGGAGTATGTTGGGAGGAGCCATTTTGGAGAGGGAGGTGGCGTCGTCTGCTGGCTGCTGTGTGACTTGTCATGCAGTTTTTTGTTACCACTATGTTTGGACATCATACCAGCTTAGTTGTACAGTTAAAATAAAACCACAAACAGTATTGTGGGAGGAGGAGGAATGTTGGTGAGTTAGGTGTTGAAGGAGTGAGGGAGGGCTGGCTGGGTGTGGCAGCTATTCTTGTTTTTTGGACTCATCATACCAACTTAGTGGTTCACTATGGTGAACACAAATGTAGATACTTATATATAATGTGTGTATAGAGTCTAATAACAGCAAAAGGAGTATGTCGGAAGGAGCCATTTTGGTGAGGGAGGTGGCATCGTTTCCTAGCATCATCTGCTGGCTGCTGTGTGACTTGCCATGTAGTGTATGGTGGACACTGTGCTGTTTGGACACCATACCAGCTTAGTTGTATAGTTATGGTGAATAAAACATGTAGATACTTATATATAACATGTGTAATAAAAACAATAACAGTATGATGGGAGGAGGAATGTTGGTGAGTGGGTGTTGAAGGAGGGAGGGAAGTGGCATCTGACAGTTGCTGTGTCGCGGCCACTCTTGTTGTTTTGGGCTCACCATACCAACTTAGTGGTTTGTTATAGTGAGCACATATGTAGATAGGTATATACAATGTGTGTGTGTATAGTGTAATAACAGCAAAAACACCGTTTGATTGATCATGGAATATAATGTCACATATGAGCCCCATAATTTTGAGCATAGCAATGTTCCATACATTGAACTATATAAATTCCATAAATTACAGTTTTGAATAATATTACAGCAAAAACTAAAGAAATGAATGAGAAACATCAAAATAATTGTGAAACATTATATTCGCGGCATCTTCTGCCCCACGGGGTGGCGGGGTCAAGTGACCCTGAGATCTCCATCGCTCAGCGCCCATAATTTGCTCAACTTCTCAGCTTTATCATGGCTAAAGTATGTCGCACACAATATTTTTTTTAAGTTTCCCGAGATGAGAGACTGCATTTTAACAATATAAGAAGAGAAAATAATTTTTTGGCAAGAATTTTTTTGCACACCACAAGGAAATCATATTTTAATGCAGAGCAGTGCAGTGCAGTGTTTAAGGGGGTGTGCCTCTCCTGTGGTTGCTGTGTATTTTTGTGATGAGTCTGAAGCTTGGGTTGCTAATATTTCTGTTGTACTGTAATAACAGTGAATGTTTCTTTGTATATGCCTGTCACTGAGAAGCATTCTTGTATGCATTACTGTACTTTGATCGCAGATTTGGGAAAGGGAGATGCATCGAGTCTGACTTTAACTGTTTCATATTTGCTAAGGCAATTGTAACAAGCCTCAACTCTTGAGATTTGCTGGAGCTGTCAAAAACAAACTCCAGCCTCACAATTGCTGGGGGAGAGATGAAACTGCCTCCCACCTACAGAAACCTAGTGAGTCACTGAATTTTGCAAGGGTTTCTTTGGTGCTATTGAGGAAAATTTAGCAAGATTTGTTAAAGTTTATACCACATTGATGATGGTGAACCTTGCAAAACCAAAGTCAAGGTGAATTTTCATAAAGAAGAAGAATCAAAGGCCTCAAGCAGCTGTGGAAGACTGTACATAACATCATCTTGGAAAACTGCATATTAGCTTCCCTTAAATCCAGAGATTTTCCCTGTGTGAAGCAGTCGCATGAGATGTCATGACTGACTGCCACCACCATGTTACAGGGTGCCAAGGGTGAACGAGGAAAACGAGGCAAGCGAGGTCGTCGCGGTAAGCCTGGGCCTCCCGGGTCCATTGGTGACCTGGGCCTGCCGGGATGGCCGGTAAGTTTTCCTCTCCCTCACTTCTTCGTCACCTCACAATATTCCCACACAGTGGGTGTGGGTGTGTTCCTACACCCACACATTATGCAAGTCTGAAGTAAAAGATTTAATGTGAGCATTTGATTAACTGCATGATATATTCACCAAGTACAGTATTATATTCATATAGCTTTCAGTAAGACAAGTTGTGTAATGTTCTTGATTTGTGTACTGTAAATATATTTAGGTAGAGGGTAGATGAAGACATGCATACTGACAGTGACTTCTTGAATACATTTGTGCATTTTAACAAATTAAAACAAAAATAACATTTCCATAAATTCCCAATATCTCTTGCACAATCATATTGTAAAACATAAAGTTTGATTGCTATTTGTGATAATATTAATAGTTTTAATGAGTGATCATGATTGCTAACCTTCCCAATTACTACTGGCTGCCACATGCAGAATGACACGGACATCGTAAGTATACTGTGAGACCATTCTACTCTCTTTACATTCTTGCAATTTATCATTTAAGTAATGGTAATGTCTTCACAGACATAACAACATAGGGTAAAATCCACACTTATGTATTTGTGAATTTTATGTAAAGATTTACACCATCTTTTGTGCTCTCCTGAGTGCTTTGTCAAGGTCTGAGTATGTGGTTAGGACAATACTTACATCTCAGCGTCTATTGCGGTTGCTATTCTGGATCCAATCCTCTTATCCTTCTTGATCTTCTGACTATGCCACCTCTATTCACGACCTCAGATGCACCTGCGGTGATGTCGTCCATGGAATTATAATTAGGTGTTCTTTCTGTTGTCCAGATATTCTGAGACCTGGAGTCGTTATTAATAGAGGTGTTCATCTGGATGCTGTCCCTCATTACTCTCTTTATACCCAAAGGAAAGCAGCTATTCAGATCTAATTTTAATTAACTTAGAGTAATTTTTTTCTTAAGCTATCCTCAAAAGTAAAGTTTTTGTTTCCAGCGAAAGGATTTAAATTATTTATTAGAACCCCTTCTACTACCCTTTAGTTCTAATATTATTACTTTTATAGATTATTTCACACCTCTTAAAATCAATATTGCGATCCTTTTCCCAACTGTGGTTTGCTACAGTATTATTACCAGCCATGATTCTATATATTTTTTTTGTGTTCTTCAATTCTGATCTTAAGTTTACAATGAGTGGAAAACAAGGCCAAACCTTGAGATCCTGTACCCATGTCCAGTCTCCCTGCAAAGATGGGTATGGCTAGCCCCAAGAGTCTGGCCTCTAACCTTGGACAGACAGACAGATATTTTTTCTTATAGATATTATCCCTACGGGAAAGCCTAGGCACTGGGGCCAGCTAAGCTGGTAGAATCCCTGTCTAGTAGCAGGCAAACTGACTGCCAGTAGCAGCCAAGAAACCTTCGGGGCAACAGAGGAGGACTACCAAGACCACCTAGGCTGTTCAAGAACTGGAGTGGTGGGCAGCTGGCTTCCCCTGAGCGGAAGTACTAGGTTGCATGAAGGGTTGCTTGTTTGGTTTCTTTTTAGGGAAAATTTTGATATTTTTGGATATAGATTGCACAGATTAACCAGACAGTGGTCTGTTTTGATTTGCGTACCTTTCTGGGTCCTTCCCCAGTTGATGGCAATTATCACATACGTACTTTAAATGTAAAGTACAGTACTCATAAGCCATTGATCCCCTGTGCCTCTCTGAGGGGACCAGGTTCTGGCTTGTGGTCCCTTGTAGGCATAAGAACTCCTGTGACTGATTACCCCAAACTAATATAGCACATATCAGTTCGGACAGCTTCAGGGAACCTCCGAGGTTCACCCAGAAAATGGCGTTTAATTACCTTCAACGCTGGTTTTTGTTTTTGCATGGTCAGTTGCTTACTTCATGACCGAGCCTAATACAGTCAGTTAGCACAACTATCTTATGCCATATCTTCAAATTGGTGAGAGTGGTGTGTTAATTTGTAATTTTGTAATTACCTGATATACCTAATTGTAGTTACAGGAAAATTTGCTAAGCTTGTGGTGTCCTGTCTTTCTTATAATCTTTGTCATGTGATGTTTTGAGGCTTCTAGCGGTTTTAGCATCCACTGCCCTCTCATGTAAATTATACCATCCATCTCTTTCTTGGTGTGAAAAACAATGTTTATGAACAGCTTTTCATCTTTTTCTTAACATGAATTCACGGCTTCTTATTTTCGATGTTGCAGATTTAAATAATTTTTCCTTGTCAAATTTGTAAATTTGGTAAGTCTAATTACAGTAGTGCAGGCTACTTTGAATAGTTCCATGATATTATGAAACAACTTGAAAGATCAAGTGTACAGCAATTTGTACACCTTATCTTTCACATTGATTCATAATGTTGTGGAGTCCATTCAAAGTAGCCTGGTTAGGTCAGCCTGGGGTGCATCAAGTGATGTGTCCAGTGGTGGCTCTCCACTGCTATGTTTGTGCCACCAATTCTGCTTCTGTGGATGCTTTATGGGTTGATCCTATTTCCTTGGATCCCTGTTCCAAGGCTGATGTTTCTAAATTCATCTGCAGTGTTATGAAGTCTAGCTAGCCTGCAATGTACCCTCATGCCCATGATGGGAAATATACCACTCTTATGGTTGTGTTTGCTAATATGTCCTAGGCTGATGTTCGGGCACAAGGGTTTTGGCAGTCTAACAGGGTTCAGGTGGACCAGTATTTGGTGAATGTTCCTGGACCTCGACGTCCTTGTGTGACCTTGAGTTGTATGTCTCGTTTAAGGATCTCTTCTTTGTCCTGACTCCTGTGGTTCTCCCTCCTTCCTTGTAACTTCCTGTGTGTTCTTCCTTCTCTGTGGGTAACTTCAGGGAGACACAAGGACTTTCCCCCAGTAACCAGCATTGGATGTAAGGAAACTCATTTTTTTGGGTGAGACCCGGTGGCATCTTGACTCTCCACCTCCCTTCTAGGTAGTCAGATGAGTCTTCTTGATGCTTATGCTCCAGAACTGATAGCTCAGACCTCTGGAGGTAGCAGACCACATTCCCCTCTACTCAAACAAGTGGGGGAGGTGAAGTGATTGAGCTCAGGCTAGTTTTAAGAAATTCAATCATTTATTTATATAATTTAGGGGAGTTCATTAGGAGGGTTGTAAGGCTTCAGTCTCTTGAACCAAGTAGTTTTTTTTTTTTTGACTTGCTGACTTTTTGGATGCCTTTCCCAGTGAGGTGGTGAAATATCACCGCTCCCTGTGCCTCTGTGAAGGGGCCAGGTTCTGACTCTAGTCCCCAGTAGGCCTAAGAACTCTATGGCTGATGCCACCTGATAGATGGGAATCATCTCTGGAAACCACTGGGGTTCACCTAGTAAAAGATGTTTTGTTAAATAAAGTTTTTCTGGGGGGAGCCCCGTCAGCTCCCCGGAGCTATCCAGGCTGAATGGATATGTATAACTTTCTGGCATCAGTCAAAGTGCTAGGAGTTCTTTCCTACCGGGGACCACGAGCCAGAACCTGGCCCCCTCAGAGAGGCACGAGGAGCAATGGCCTATAGAAACCCCTTTGTGATTGGGAGCATTCTATGTCTGCCATCGACCGGGACAGGCACCCAGAAAGGTAGGCACCCCAAAACAAACCCCTATTCTGGTGAAATTATTGCTACCGAAAGCCAAACGAGTGGACAAAACTCCCCAAACAAAATTATCAAATTAGCATGACGTCATCACGTCACCGTCTGCGCAACCCCCCTCCCCGAGAGGGGGAAGGGGGAGCCCCAGACCCTCCACGCCGGCGATCCAACTGGCAGTTCTTGGCTGATGGTATTACTGGCTGGTCAAGTGCCTCTGGCTCCGGTTTTTGTTTCAGTTCTGTGCCTTGTGGTGTGGACTCTCTCTACCGGTGGGGTGTGAGCCAGGAGTAAGATTCTACGGTACTCGGGCTGCATGTGCCTAGGGCTCTCTTCCCTAGGTGCCCTGTAAGTACTACCCTTGGGGCTTGGGGCCACCTTCCACAAGTCACCTTGGGTTCTGCCTCCGTTGTGTCCTTTACTGCTCGGTACTGGGCCGCCCTTGGAGTCGGCTGGGTTTTTTTTGCCCTGGTTTGTCTCTGGGTAGGTGGTAGTTTTCGTCACTGGTAGGGGCGCGGGGTACTGCACAGCTAGTTTTCACCATTAACAGCGGCCGGTTCTGTTCTGCCTGGGTACATTGTCCTCTTGCGGGGTTTTTCTTTTGTTTTTGTTTTTGCCTGGTGGGGGTCTGCCTTTATTATGGTCCCCCCTTTCCTGTTCTAGGTGAATTTCTTTCGAATTCTTCTGTTGGCGGTACTCCCCGCTTGGCCCCCGTGAGTGGACACGCCCCGGGGGTTCAGCTTTAGTAGTTTGTTGGTAGATTTGGGTGCCGGTTCGCGGTACCCTGCCTGGGCTTCCCTTAGCGTGTACCAAAGGCTAAGGGCCCTGGGAAACCCCACGGGGGCTCCGTGGTCCTCTAGGTGTGTCCCCGGAGTCCCCCTCGCGTCCTGCGAGTTTGAAGGTTGATCTGTCCCCTTGTCTCAGAGTGACACTCACCGGTTGTGCCTCCGCCATGCTGCCTGTTGGGTCCTTGTTCTTGTGACCCGGAGTCGTCCGATGATTGTTGTCGGTACGCGCTCTCCTTCACCCAGGCCACTGGTCTTGATAATCGGGTGCAGGTGGCTGCGGTGTTGCTTGCTGGGTGTGTGTTGCTGCAACGCTCTTGGTTTGCGGCCCCGGATGCCCCGAGGCTGCCCCGTTTTGGTGGTTGGGGTCTGGACTTGGGGGTGGGGGTTGCTTCGGCTCTGGCTCCTTACGCTTCTTGTTCCTCCCCTTCTGTTCTACTCACTTCCTTCCTCGCTTCCTGCTCTGAACCATAGGCGGGTTTCGGGGTTGGGGTGGGGTCTGGTTGGGTTGAGACTCGGGCGGTCTCGGGGGTTTTCCTCTTCCGGGGTGGTGGCAGAGGCATTCGAGTCGGTTCCTCCAGCCGTGCCGTATGAGTCTGACCAGTGGGCTCCCTTCATTAGTGTTTGCACGGCTGCCCCGGCTTTTCCTTGTTAAGCTGGGGCTTTGGGGGTGCGGCTCGGCCCTGGGTCATGCCGTAGAGATTCCCGGGGTTAGGGAGGGGTTGCCTGGGGGGCCTTGGCCCCGTTTGCCCCTCTTGGGTCCTTGTACCTTTGGTGTGGGGTTGGCAGTTCCTCAGTGGGGTTGTTCCTTCCTTCTGTGTTCCTGTTGTTTTCGGGTATACCCCTCCATGGGTTCGGTTCCGTGTTCCTTCGGGTTCGTCGGTCTTGTCGTTCCTGGGGGTGTGTTTCACCCCCTTCTCCTTACCCTTTTCGCTCTTATGTCGCGATGCTGTTCACAAAAAAAAAAAAGTGTTCAGGTAAGGTACATCCATACAAGGTGTGAAACAAACATTGATGGATTTCTATATTGACCTAGTACATAGTGCCTAAACTGCTTCGTATCGTTGTCCCTGCATGTTCCTTGGTCAGGGGTGCTTGTCATGGTTCTCGTTGGTTCGCGAGTCTCTTCGTACCTTCCAATATTATTGGAACGTCTGTTGATTTTCGATGTGGTTTCCATCGGGTCTTTTGTCGGCCTTGTTGGTTCCTTTCCATCATCTGTTTTCTTTTGCTTCATTTTCGCCTTGTTTTGTTTTCGTGTCATCTCTACTTCCAGTTTCGGCGTTCTTTGTCTTCGTTCCGCACGCCTTCCTGGTGTTTGTACGATGTCTGTACGTTGTGTGTACGATTTGTGTGTCCGCCTGGTGTACGAGCCACGCCTCCCGGTGGACGGGTGGTGCGTTTCGTACCTCGTGTGCTGGGGCCGCGGTGTGCGTTTTGTTTACGGGCGGTATGCTCGTGTGTTCGCGTCGTTTCTCGTGGTTTTCTGCGGCTTCTTGCTCGTTTCTCCCTCCAGTCGTGGCCCTCTGGATGCTGAGGGTGGTTTGGATTTATATCTGGGGGTGTCACTTTGTTCTCCCTCTGTACTGCTTCGTCTTCTGCAGGGCTCGCACCTCTGGCCGTATTTCTCCGACCTCGCATTTTATTCAGGTAAGGGTACATACTATGCCTACTGCCTCGAGTATGCATGGCTTTCGGGCACACCTTTAGCGTTGCACCCCACCTTTTGGTGGGGTGCTTGCCTAGTTGTGCTTGCGGGGGTTGACTCTGGCTCTTGGGCCCCGCTTCTCCTGTCAGTTGACGATTGTGCAGTTTCCTGAGCCTTCTGGGCTCTTGTCTTCACGTTTGCTCCTGTGGGTGGCGTCTGCCTCCTCCACATGGCTTTTTGGTGCTTTTCACTTCCTTTCCCCTCTGACATTAATCAGGTTCTTTTAGTGTCTGTGGCTCCTTTGGGTGCTCACTACCTCCTGTGTCCCCTTGTGCGTACAAACATATGGACATAAGTACAGTGGACCTGCGGAGGGCCTATTGGCCCGTGCGAGGTAGCTACTGTTTCTTATCATCCATTCCCACTCGCATACATGTCCAACCCGCCCTTGCATGGGGCCCCACCACCACATTACGTGGTAACTGGTTCCGTGCGTCACCGGGCCTATTACAGTGCAGGTCATTCCTCCGGTCTTTCCTGATTCTGCGCTTATCCTTTTTATGCCCGTTGTTTCGTGCCCACAATGTGCCACAGGGTGGCTTGTGCCACTATCCCAGTTTCTATTGTTTCGTGAGGATTGGTCAATAAACACAAACACTAAGGAACTACTTATCTTTTGTTGCGTATTCAGTAGTTGCGGGTGGTGTTTTGGCGGGCAATGGTGCGGGTTGGGCGCTCCGAGTGTCGGTACGGTGTCTCGCATGTCTGTTCTAGACCACACTTGCAGGTAGTCTAGTTATTCTTTGCTACTCTGCTGGTTATATGCTTGGGCGCCGCCTCACAGTTCTCCACAAGTTGGTAGGACTTTTCCTTGGATGTACGGAACGGTTTGAGTTCCATCGTTGGTACTTTGGAGAGCTTTGCTTCTCTGGTTAGGCTCATGCGTTTGGAGCGAGTATCTTCTTGGGATACTCTACGCACTCCGCCACCCTTGTTCACTGTTCCATCCTTGTTTACTCTTCCCCACTTGGCGGGATTGCGTCGATGGCTCCTGACTGGGGTGTTTGGTGTGGTGTTTGGTCACCTTGCATGTGTCTTTAGTGCCTTTTTTGTCCATCTTTTGTTCTTTGTTGTCCTGTAGGGCTCTGCCCCGCATTTTGGTGCTTTTGTTTTCGTTGTCGACCCCTGGGTTTTTTCCCTGTCTGGACACTTTCCTTGCCTATCTTCGGTGCCTGACTGCACCCTGCTGTCCGTAAGGTCCTTCAGGTATGTACGCGCTCCTCTACACATTTTGTGGTTGGTCGTGTGCGTTACTTCCTGGCCGCTCCTTGGGCCATATTGGGTTTCCTTACTTATTTCCGTTTTTCCTCCCCACTTTGTGTGTCTGGGTCAGTGCTTCTTGGTATTCCTGTTTGGTGCTCTTGTGGGCCTCTGTCCATGTTCCCGTCCTGCTTTTGGACTTCTCCAGTGTTCTGTTTTGGTACCGAGTTCCTGCGATTTCTGTGTGGTTTTCTGCAGGCTTCGGGTTGCGCTGTCTGTGAGGGGAGGGAAGGGGGTGTGAACTTTTCGGTCTGCCGCTCCTGCTTTCCTGGTTCCTTTTCTTGGAACCGGGTTTGCTGGGTTCCGGTCCTGGTTTCAGTTTTTCTTTATTCCTTTTCCGGACCGGGTGTGTTTGCTTTCCTGCGGTTCTCGTCCTCGGTAGTTATCCTCTTGGATGCCTCGGGGATGCGTGTCTCATTCTTCCCTGCTGGAGCTGGTTATGTTGCTCCTTTGGGTTGCGGGGTCGCTGTTTTTAGCTTTGCGTTTTGCGAATCTGAACACAAGTCCCAGGTTATTGGGACCAGGTTATTGGTCTCCCACCTGCGTGTTTTGTCTCGGGGGCAGTGTGTGATTTTCCTATCATTGCGAAGGGTCCTTCGGTCTTTGATAGGGTTGGCTTGTCTTCCCTTCGGGGTTGTTCTGGGACCGTCGTCTGGGTTTGTCCTGTCATCTCATGTTGGGTGGTGCTGGCAGAGCTGCTCCTGCTTGCGTTCAGTGTTGCGGTTCCTTCTGCTCCATTCCACTTGCTGTCCTGGGCGTTGTTCCCCTCTGGCCTGCTCTTGAGTTTTGGGGCCGTCCTGGTCGTTGGCCTGGGTGGTCTTTTTCTTCTCGTTTTGGTCTTTGTTTTGTCTCTGGTTTTGGTTGTTCAGTTAGGACATGTGGTATCCGCCTCCCGGTTCCTTCCCTGTTTTACTTATCTTTGGGGAGGTAGCTCCGGGAGCCGACGGGGCTTCCCCCAGAAAACCAGCGTTGAATGTAATGAAACACCATTTTCTGGGTGAGTCCCGGAGGCTCCCGGCATCCCGCCCTCCCTCCGGTCGGCGGGGTTTTTCGCGTATTTGACATCCAGCCTAAGAACTGCCAGTTGGATTGCCGGCGTGGAGGGTCTGGGGCTCCCCCTTCCCCCTCTCGGGGAGGG